TACAACCACAAATCATAGACATTAAATAGTTATTCAAAAGCGACGTAGTAACAAAAAAAAACATTTTGAGCCCATCTATTGTTTAGAAGTACATACAAGCAAGATGCCTGATATAGGACTTGGAGTGCTCAACCAACCTTGGAAATCATTTTTTTTTACTCTTCAGTAACAACAACATCATCTGCATCACAAGGTAAAACTAGTGAGCAAAAACTCAGTAAGTAGATTTCAAATAAAGTAAGTATCTGAAATCTCTTTGTTAAACATTGTTCATAAACTTTCATACTTATTCTTAGTTTAGGTATGATACATAACTTCGGTTCTAAGTAAACCTCTCTATATAGGACATTCTCTAATTTTGGTCAATTCTCTTCTCTTAAACACTAAGCGGGGTTTTTAGAATCTCTTTCTCTTGTAATCAACAAGAGACTTCCCACTAGTATTTTTCTCTCGTTGTCTCAAAAAGACAATTTCTCTAATTTGGGGCACCGGTCCCTCGCAGCCCTGCTTACCCAGCCTCTCATCCATATACCATACCATAAAATCTCTTAAAACATAAAAACATAATAAGCAAATATCATAATCTCTTTCAAAATAATTAATCATGAATCTTCTTTAAACATAATCATATAAGAATTTCATCAGAGAACAAACTTGCATAAATCACAATTCTGAACAAGTTATGTCAAATAGGTCTTGTAATGGAGTTTTGAAAATGCTTTAACTCTACTTACCTGAATTTCAATCACCACTTTGCAAGTACAAACTAGCTGGTTGTGGCGAGCCTTCAATGTGCTAATTAACCTTTAAAAACCATAGCTTTCAAAAATCACATTCATATCATCATTTAACAAAACACATAACTGCGCATTGTTACGAAAATATTCATAACAAATTCATCAAAACTCAAAATATTATGAGACCAATGGCAAATAAAAGTAGACTTAAAACTATTACATGATAGGTTTCAGATTTTTCAAGCTAACCAAAAACAGCCAAAAATCCGGATTGAAGTATAATCTCGTCTGGAAAATGACAACTTTTTAGCTGAACTTATAAAATTCATAACTAAATGTAGAAAAATCCGTTTAGAGTGATTCAAAAACTTACGTAAAACTTGAGATTTATAATTTAATAAAAAAATATAAGATTAGTCAAAATAAAAAGTATATATAGCACGAAAATAGAATCTACATAGGCTGTACAGAGGACTTATATTTGAACATTTCATCAAATACCTAGCACGCAAATCTTAATCTTCAAAGGTCACTCTCAAATACATGAATCATCATCCTAATAAGAGTTTATCTTCAAATAATTATCAATAATATCGAGCTAAAATCATTAATTTCACCCATAAACCAATATTTGAACCAAAACCTCAAGAAACTCATTTTTAATAGTCTACAACCAACATGCATGATAAGCCCCATCAAAATCCGAATCTCAAGTAGGATTTTAACATCTTAATCACTAAAATCTTAGTTTCTAATGTAAGAAAGAAGTTACCTCAAAGAAAAATTTGTTCCCAAGTGAATAGAAACTCAAAACCTTGGTGGTTATTTTTGGTTCTAGGTTGAAAACGAGCTATAAATGGGCTGGGTGAGTTTTTAGCTCATTCTCTCTTGAAAACCTAGGTTTGATTCTGAGTTTTGGGTGAGAAAATGAGTGAGAAGGGAGAAGAAAATGCTAGAGTCGGAGTTCTAGGCTTTTTTGCTGAAATTGACCCAAAAATGAAGTCTATACATGATAGAAAGTAAAGTGGCCTTATAGTAGGACAAGTGTCTAGGTTTTTCTAAGTCTATAACATTTGTCCTAACCTCATAAAATCAGCTATAAAGTCTCTATTTTTCTTCTTCATTTAGGTGCCTAAAGTTCACTTAATTTGCTAACATAACATTCTCTCACAAAAACTCAAAATAATAACTAAGTCCTGAACACATTTACATAAAACAATATAATAAAAATATAAAATAATAATTCATCATTAAATCAATCATAATAGAGGTAAAATATCATATCAAATAATCATAATAAATATCATTTTTTCTTCATAAGTTTAGCACATTGAGTTCCCACATCGAGCTAGTTGCACTGCACATTAAAACTGAAAACTCGATTAGCAAAGCTATAAGTTTAATACAATCATATGATCGCTATAATAATAAAATATAATGCCAACAAATAACTTTGAGGTAAATGGTAAATGTGATGCATGATTTTAATTTACTAAATTTATTTATTATTGGCTTAAGGCTTAATTAAATCTTAGGTATTACACGTTTTGTCTCAGGTGTGCCCACGCACACGACTTCGTGGATTCTAGGAATTGACATGAAAGACATTAGTTTTCTAAACACAAGACTTTGGAGCAAGGATTGTTTAAGGTCAAAGAACTCAAGTTATCATCCTAATCGGCTACTAGGTATTATTACTAATTGAGTTCTTAATAAATAAATTAATGTGATTAATTTATTCGTGCATAAATTAATATAATCTATAGAGTATCTTAAAGGCTTTTTGATAATTTTTGTTATACTTGATCCGTTATCCTCAAGCTTCTGCTTCTGAATTCGATTCAGAAACCAACAAAAATCAGTGTCCTCCTTTGAATTGGATCTTCAGAACTGACTTGGAACAATCAACTGTGTACAACCCACATTCTAGGTGCGTCTTATCGTTATGAGGTAATCCAAACTGACTAAGGACCCGTTTAGTTTTCTGATATAAATTTTTAATTCGAGTTGATATATGACTTTATGTGAGAGCATTTTATTCAGCAAAAAAATTAGATGTAATTATTTTTGAGAGTTTTGTAACAAAACTTGAATTCTAAACTCAAATAAGTTGTCTGGTTCTTTAACTTCTCACCCGCGCAAATAAAGGGAAAGGAGTCATGTTCGGAACTTCCCAACTGAACGACAAAAACGAGCGGCCAAATAAGGATCTAGTTTTCTAATGCAAAATACGTGTTTATTAAGAATTGTAGCTATTGCTCAAATCAACACGGTAGTTGACTTGAAAGTTGGGTAGCCAAAGTCTTTTAGATGGAGAGAGAGAAAAAAAATGAAGAAAGAAAAGGACAAGTTTAAAAAGAAGCAGAGAGGGTTAGCCACGGCTAGAATTCCAATGACTAAATTGATCAAGCAAAACCTTCTTCCTTGCATTGACAAGCAACGGAAGACTTGACCAATTCACCTTTCAAAGTCTCTTAAAATTTCTTAATAATTATGCGTAAAGAAGTGGGCCATATTTGGATGCTCATGCCACATTTATGCACTTTCTTAAAGCTAGCCTTCTAACTGATCATAATCAATAGAAAATAAAAAAGAAATGTGTACACATACACTTTTACGGATGCTTGCATATGTACATTAAGCGCGACTACCAAAAACTTTGAGGCCACAATAGCATGCTGCAATGCCCTCAATGTAAAAGGATAGCTTATGTTGAGACCAGTACCGCAGTTTTTACGCTCACAAGCACGTAAATATCTGCTGATATAGCTGACTCTACTAATAACTACCTACTGAGTAAGTACATAAATCAGAACATGGTGGAGTAAACAAATTCTGCTAAGAACATTCCTCTTTTTAGTGAAACTGGTTTGAAGAACAAGGAATGATGGAAACTAAGAACATTCCTCAACATGGAGAGGAGTAAATAAACTAATGTGCAATGGCTTATCTTCTTGAACAATTACAACTTTCACTCAATTTCTTCACTCTATTTTGCATTGGTTTGACTTACTAGCTTTTTTTTTTTCCCTAGTGTCTTTTAGAATTTCTCGCGCTTAAAGAGAAGGCAATCGGGTTACAGGGAGGCTGTTGGCAGCTTATGCGACTACGACTCTGCATTTTGAGTGGTGTAATTCGCAACCTAATTTTGTTTAGAGTTTTATTGTTCGTGATGGAATTGTGCGGCCGTGTTTAAGATCACATAATTTACAATGATCATGCACTCCTTTTTTATTTTTTCAAATTTTTTCGGTGGATTTTCCTGAAAAAAAGTTTTCAACGAGTCAATGATCATGCATTTCCGGTAGCTCACTCAGACTTTTACTTGTTTTATGTTTGTTACGTCGGTTTATTAGTAAGTGCCAACCTCGTTGAAATATGCTAATAAAGCTGAGAATATCTCTATTCAGAGTTCACATCTTTGGCCACAAGTCATATAATTATATATGATCCAAACATATATGATTATTGCTACAAACTATTGGTTTGGGCCATTCAGATTTTTAAGACCTTAAAGACGAAAGACTAGCTACTTGGATTGCTCAGAAGACAGCTTTGTTCACCATTAGATATTTGACACCATCTGTCAGCAAATATCTCATATATTGAAATCACTAAGATATTGACGTATAAAACTAGGTAGTTGATAAAGAACAAGAGAAAAGGGAGGAGAAATTAAAAGGAAAAAAATGCTACTTTTGACTATTAGTAATACAATACGTGAACGTATATCAAAATTGCTATATAACAATGCCAGAGTATGTCTTTTTTACTATGTGAGATTACTATTCCTGATGCAACCTGCCGTGACATACATGATACATAGTAGCGGAGCTAGGATTTTTCTTTTCTTTCCTTTCCTTTTTTAGGGGAGTGTGAATTAAACCAAAGTTCTACACAAAAATAACTATACAACTACATTTTTTGTAACTATATTCACAATTCACAAAATTGTAAACATGTATAATAATGTCGTTGATTTTTAGCTTAGTTGGCATATTGAGGTTTGAAATATGAGGTACTTAAAAGTTTGTGATTGAAAGATTTAAAAAAACTCGCATATAAATGTCATAATTATAAAAGGTCATGCGGACAAACTAAGAAAAAAAGTGTAAAAGAAATATTTGTTGGGATAAAAACAAAGAAGACCCTTGGGGCAGTTGCAGCTGGCGCAAGATAGCTCCACCACTAGATATACACCAGCAATGATAAATAACAATGCTCAAAAAAAAAAACAGAGAGAATGGTCATCATGATCTGAATTATGTTCAAAGTATGAACGTAAACTATAATACATTCCCTTACTCTGTACACTCCCTCAAACCATTCCTACAAGTGTTGTGCGCACTGGATAATGGGTAAACAGCTTATAACAGGCAACAAAGCAGGTAAATGATCATGAGAAAACAAATTGGGACCCATCAATTAACATCAAGTTATTTCATACCAAATATTGTTCATCATTTCTCATGAAAAATTCGGAATGGAAAGAAAACTTTAGCCACTTATATTAGCTGTTGATGAAGACCTACTACTAGGCCAGTTTTCAGTCACAGCATTCGGTGATAGCGGCTGCTCTTTTATTCTCTTCAATAACCCAACTTCATCACAATCTTGTGAAGGTGGTGGCTGAACACTAGTTGTTACACCCTCCAAACCCTTCACATGATTCTCAGACTCATTATTCCCACTCTCAATTATTTTCAGCTCCTCCAAGACTTCATCCATGGAAGGCCTCATTTCCTTGTCTTGTTGCAAACATTGAAAGGCCAACTCTGCAACAGCAATTGTCATCCTCTTAACTTCATTATTTGAGTCAAACCCAAGACGCAGATCCACCAGCTCGTTGTATGCCCCTTTTTGAATCTTGATTATTGCCAAGTTAGATAGATTAATGTCATGTCTATGCCTAGTTATGTCAACAGCACGCATAGATGATATGAGCTCAACCAGTACAACTCCGAAGCTATACACGTCGCTCTTACTGGTTAGCTGATAACACTGGTGATACTCGGGATCAACATAGCCAGGTGTCCCCTGTGGAGCCGTCGAGACATGAGTGACATCATTGGGGAAGAGCCGGGAAAGTCCAAAATCGGCAACTTTGACACAGAAGCTCTCGTCAAGTAGAATGTTGTTAGTCTTCACATCGCGGTGGACAATGTCAGAAGCATGTAAATAAGCCAAGGCAGTCGCAGTTTCTATGGCTATGCTCATTCGAACTGGCCATGTAAGAGGACTAGTTTGTGCTCTATCTCCATGGAGGTGATCAGCAACGGTGCCATTCGGGATATACTCATAGACAAGGAGGAGTTTCCTGCAGTGCCATGAAGTGCAGCCGTAGAGGGAAACCAGATTCTTGTGGCGCAGGCGGGTAAGGATTTCAACCTCATTTTTGAATTGTTTTACTCGCTTGTAGTTGTGCTCGTATAAGCGCTTTACTGCAACTTCCCTCCCATCTTTGAGTTTGCCTAAGTTTGAAAAGGATAGAATTAAGATAAGGCCATTCAGCACTGCAAATACTATAATCATATAGTTATTTTATCTCCTTTTATGTGAGTGGTTATTATGACTTACGTACCATGGTATACAGTTCCGAAACCTCCATCACCGAGTTCTTTTTCGCTATCAAAATTGTTAGTTGCTTCTTCAAGATCCTTGTAGGAAAAGACATGGACTCCATAGTAGCCACTTCCCCCCTCTGGGTCTGAATTCATGCATGGATCAGAGATGTTCCTTGAGAGGTATTTTGCGGATCGTTTCAGTTTGTGGCGCCAGAGAAAAAAGAACATTACCAAACAGATTATTGGAAGAGAAAGTCCGATACCTGAAGCAGACAAATGGGAGTGGTCAAAGAGAAATTTGTTAGACTGACTATCCAACAAAGCAAAATTAGCAAAATGGCATTCTTTACTTTTCGTTATTTGTAAAAAGTGGTCGCTCTTAGTTGTCACTTTTAACAATAAGATGTGTTTTAGATTAATTAGTATTGGTAACAATTTGGATGTTTGATGGTTAAAGGAGTATATATCTTACTTAGTCCCCACTTCAATCGCGAATTCTTATCTCCTGCAACATTATGAAGAAAAATGTTGTTAGCAGAGGTAATAAATAAGTAAAAGATATAGATAAAATATGAGGATGAAAACACAAACCTACCCGGACACTTACAATCTAGAATTGCTTGCGGAAAAATGTCAGACTTTTCACAATCCAAAATAAAACAGAATTAATAAAACAAAGCTATGTTTGCATGATGAATGAGTAGTATAGTTGAACTATGGAGGATGAGCAGAGTGAAGACTCCAAAGAAAAAGACGTATGCATGTATATAAGCAGGAATACTGATAAAGATAGATACCTTTTGTTGTGTGGGAAATGAAGGTGACCCGGCGTAATCCTATTAACAAAATTTCACTGTCAACACCTTTCTTTTTTTCCGCATTAAGACAAATGAATTTATCTTTGTCCTTAGGTTTGCATAGGCCTTGCATACTGTAACAACGACGACGAAAATCGTTGACATTCACATCAAGAATGATGAGAGGTAAATTTGAAATTCCATGTTTGGGAGTTTGAAAATAGCCTGGGAGTTGGATCATCGAACAGTGAGGTGTAAAAGCCGAGAAACTAATATTTGAAAGAGTATAGTAGATATCATAATCTCTGCAGGGAGTGTGATCAAATCCTGCCGGGACATGAATGCCTGAGTTTTGGCTGCAATTGAAGACGGTCAACAAATAAGTCGTGGACAGGTTAGATATCATGGAAGGACTAGGGAGAGCAAAACTGTCCTTGGATTCACAACTGATGTCAGCAAAAGGTGCGGGTGGCGCTCCGCTCTTGATGGCCATATGATGTCCATGCCGAGAGATGTCATCAAGTTCATACCAGTATCCTCCTTCTTTCAACTGTATCTTCGGAACTGGCTCTGAACAATCAACTGTGTACAACCCACATTTAGAGTTGGAGTTATTTCTAAAGGGGGGCAAGATATCCCCAAATTTCCCACAACGAAATGGTGGACAAGCCGGGTGATGTATCTGCTCTTCGGCCGAGCTGAGAAGCGGAAGAGGGGAGAGAAAGAACATAACAAGCAAGGAAAGGGAGGCCATTAGGAATCGTATAACAGGGAAATAACAACGTTCTCCAGTAAAATAACTCCATCTTCGGCTTATCATAATATTAAAGGCGTGTTTATTTTTAACTACTTATGTTTAGCTTATTTGGTACGGATTAAATAGAAAAAATATTTAGAGAAAAAGTATGTGAGTTTGAGAATTTTTATAGAGACGTCTGTACTTTTAAGAGTTTTTGAGTGTTAATTATTACGTTTTTTGGGAGAGAGGTTTGTTGCTTTTAGGAATAAGTTTTGTCGGTCAAAGAGAGTTTGCCGAGTGAATAAAAGACGTGTGGTGCACACTAAATAGCATCACTACGGAAATTCTTCACAGCAACTTCATTGTCTAAGAGGGAGTCATGTGTAAATAACTCTGTTAGTATCTGTAATTTCTAAAATATAGTGAATTATTTACTGTCTAAAGTCTAAACATAACCCCACAGATATAAGTGTATGCTCTAAACTGCATCATTAGGTGTTCTTTTTATTTCTGCATTTTATCTTGCTCTAAAAACTAAACATAATTAATCTAAATCTCAATTAATTAAGCCGTGTCCTAAACTATGCTACAACACCATCTAACATACCAAACGTACAATTAAATCTAATAAAAAATTATTATAATCATCTTCATTCTTCACGCTCTTCGTCATTTCAACACTATCTTTTTTATTCTCCATCTCTCCTGCCTAAGGAAGCCTATTGAATGGAGGTCCTCTTGTCTTTCTTTTTCATAATATCGTAATATTTTATTAGGACAACACTCATGATAGCATTTTATTAGTAATTTAAACTAGTTGGAGAAAAAAGAAAGAAAAGGAAATGTTGAAAAAGAAGGAGAGTGGGTAGGTAGGCACCATGAACCTTCCCATATCCTACTTTTCAGGAATTGCAAGGACTATAATATTCAAACTTGGTTTAAGAAAACCGACACTATGCTTCTTTTACTCTGCTTTCTTGGAACTCTATCTTTAATATATATGCTAATATTTGATAAAAACAAGTATTAGTCTGTAGGGAGTACAAATATAGAGCTTGTCTTTTTTAAAATGGATGATCTTGGTGAGAGACTTGTATATGGTACTGCCTATTATTTATTTTTTCATAGGAGAATCTGCATGGATTGTCTATGTTCAAGTAAATTTCTAATTTTTTATAAATATAAATTATTTATTTACACAAGCAAATCAGTAAATTTCAAATTGCCGTCTTTAAAAATTAATGCTTATTGCGCATCAAGATGGCTAACAAGCACATACGAGCCATGCATATATTTTAGCATTTTAGAGAGACTTGGTATGAGAGACTTCCCAGCATGCCAAGTCTCTCTTTTCAAACCAACCACTTGTTAAGAAAACCATTACGAAGCTATGTTCATGTGATAAAGCAACAGCATTTAAAAAAATAAAATATAAAATATAAAGCAACAGCAGGCTATGTAAATGTATAATAAGCATCACTAGAATGCAGAGTTCAAAGAAAAAGACGTATGCATGTAAATACGCAGGAATGCTCATGCACTCTGATATAGATAGATACCTTTCTTTTTTTCCGCATTAAGACAAATGAATTTATCTTTGTCCATAGGTTTGCATAGGCCTTGCATACTGTAACAACGACGACAAAAATCGTTGACATGCACTTCAAGAATGATGAGAGGTGAATTTGAAATTCCATGTTTGGGATCATGTTTGGGAGTTTGAAAATAGCCTGGGAGTTGGATCATCGAACAGTGAGGTGTAAAAGCCGAGAAACTAATATTTGAAAGAGTATAGTAGATATCATAATCTCTGCAGGGAGTGTGATCAAATCCTGCCGGGACATGAATGCCTGAGTTTTGGCTGCAATTGAAGACGGTCAACAAATAAGTCGTGGACAGGTTAGATATCATGGAAGGACTAGGGAGAGCAAAACTGTCCTTGGATTCACAACTGATGTCAGCAAAAGGTGCGGGTGGCGCTCCGCTCTTGATGGCCATATGATGTCCATGCCGAGAGATGTCATCAAGTTCATACCAGTATCCTCCTTCTTTCAACTGTATCTTCGGAACTGGCTCTGAACAATCAACTGTGTACAACCCACATTTAGAGTTGGAGTTATTTCTAAAGGGGGGCAAGATATCCCCAAATTTCCCACAACGAAATGGTGGACAAGCCGGGTGATGTATCTGCTCTTCGGCCGAGCTGAGAAACAGAAGATGAGCAAAAAAAGAGACAAAAAACAAAGAAAGAGAAGCCATACTGAAGTTCCCTATGTAAACGACCAAAACAAGACCACTCCAAATAAGAATCTAGTTTCCTAATGTCGCTTCTTAAGTTATAACCAAAACAAGACCACTCCAAATAAGAATCTAGTTTCCTAATGAGATTTCTCTGGTTAACGCGATGGCTGACTTGGAAATTTGGACACCGAAAGACTTTTAAGAAAAACGGGTTAGCCACGACGAAGCTACCAATACTCTGGCTATAATAATACTGTTGAGAATTCGGCTGGGCCACCAAGGACTAATTACTAGACCGACTTAGAAAGACTTGACTCATTGACCTTTCAATGTCCCTCCAATAAACAATAGGAATCTACATAGCAGGAACATGTCCTTTTCGCTACTGATAGAAACTATTGTTTTAATTGTTCTACTAATGTTTTAATGGTCTTGGCTCTAATTTATGAGTACCCACCTTAAAAATTTGTAGCGTACAACACAAAACTGTTTATATTTATAAATTATTAAAAAATCATCTAAATCACTTAAACAACAGTACCTACTGATGTTGAAAAATGACAGTGCTTACTTTAAAAATTCAATAATAATAACAAAAGTAAAATATTGATCTAAATATTTGCCGCTTTTCCCCACACAAAAAAAATCCGGCTCTGTGAGCAAGTTAGCTCCGAGGAATACGGTAAAGCAAGATCTCGTGTAACGTGTCTTGGCTTTATCTTGGTTGTATAGCAAAAAGTAATCTGTTTATATCCTGGCAATGCTATAACAGGTATGTCTGAGAGTGAAATAGAAAAAGGTACGAGTGGTGGGAAGACTTTGAATAGCTTTGGTTCTACTTTGTTGTAGGGGCAAGGAGTGGAAAATGATATATATGAAGGAAAAAAGCACCTGCCAACCATTAGATAATCACGAGGTTCTCGTGTTATCACGACATCGATACATAGTTGGGGTCATTCTCATGCCCTTAACTTTTCAGCGTATAGAAAATTTGCCCTAATTCTGGTTAGAAATTTTGTTGGTCTTAAAGTCTGATAAGTAAGAGATGGGGTAAAAGGGCAAGGGTTTCACATGGAAGATATTAGACCATGATTGTTATTTGTTGAGCTGTGAGTCCCGGGTTTGTCACCAGCTGCTCTAAATACATCATTGTGCCCAGATTTACCACAAAAGAGCTTGACTGGTTGTTGTGATGGTCCAATATATAAACTCTGTTGGGAAAAAACGCAGCAGAAAAAATAAACTGAAATAAAAAAAATAACAAAAAAATAGAAAAAACAAAGATTTATATAATTTAGAAAAATTTCTTACATTCACAGAAAAAAAAAAAAAATTCACTAACAATTTTAAAATTACACACTCATATAACTTTCTCACTTTCTCTCCCTACCCAAAACTCTTTACACCCTTTGTCTATTTTTCTTTTCAGTTTTCTCTCTTTCTCTCAAAAGTAAATACTCTTTTGTACACTTTTTCTGAGCACTTTTTTTTTTTAACACACATGAAACCTTATAAAAAAAACTTATTTATAGATTCTTAATAAACCATAAAATAACCCTTGTTTAAAAACAGAAAACAATAACTTACCCAAAAAACACAAAATAGTAACTTTCTCAAAACTAATTTGAGGCATTTTCTTAACAATTTTCACATTAACTCAACTTCTCTCAACTCACTCATTTGGGTATCCAATCTCGACACCTGTCATCGCATCCCTCAACCAAGTTTAAACTCTCATCAAACTTGATACAAGAAACTGCCCTCTTCTTTTTCAAAGTATTTTCACTGCTATAAGCCTTCACCATCTTGCATTTATTATCTTCAACTGTCATCAACATCTTGTTGCACTCTTTCACTTCTGCAACTTCTTTCATAACAGAAGAAGACTCTTCGTGGCTTGGCTTCACCTACAACTGTAGTCTCAATATGTTTATACAAGTTTTTCACCTTTCATGGTCACTAAATCACCTCTCTTGACTTGCATAAAACCACCATTCGCATAATACTCACAACCCAAATTGTCCAAAGCTCCCAAAGAAATTAAACTTCTCCTTAGTTGAGGAACATGCCTAACATTTGTCAATTTCCTCACAACACCATCAAACATCTTCACCTTAGCAGTACATATTCCAACAACTTTAGCACTATAATTATTAGCCATCAACAGAGTACAAGCATCACAAGGCTTATAAGAATCAAACCACTCCTTATGAGAACCATATGAAATGGACATCTAGAATCTAAGATCCAAGAGTCAGAAAATATTTTCATTAGCAATAACAGAATATACATCATCTTCACTATAATACTTGTTGTCAACAATATTTACAGAATTAGAAGTCTCTTAGGGTTCTTGCTTTCTTTCTTCTTCAAGGTGATTTGCCAGTTCTTCACAATTTCTCCTAATATACCCATTCTTATGACAGTGGTAGCACTCAATATCCTTCCTTGGATAGGATTGGAAACGAACATCTCTCTTATCATAACATCTCTCTCGTGACTTGCTCATGCCCCTATTGACTGTGCCACTAAAACTTGTTCAATATGAGACGTACTACTTGGCTTCTTTATATTTGCAGTCACTAATAGAACAGTCGACACCTCATCCACAGTCAACGTCGTCTTTCTAACTAAAAGTGCAGTCACCAAAGTCTCACATGATTTGGATAAAGAGGCCAACAAAATTAACGTTTTATCTTTCTCATCAATTTTGACCTCCACACTTAACAATTGAGTTATGCACTTATTAAAATTATTTATACGGTCCCTAATATCACTTTGCTCATCTATCTTCAAC